CTCTTTGTAAATTTTTTTGAAAAATTTAAAAATTATTACGTTACCTTTAAGTTCCGCAGCTTAAAATGTGTAATATGTTGTTTGATAACAAAAATAGTTTTGGAAATACTGACGTAACAACTTATATATATAGAACATAACGCGTTATTAATTTCTCGATTCCACGTGAAACTCCACTAAAGAAATTGCAACAGTTAAGTCTTGTCTTCGGGAAATACAATTTTTAAGTAATTGTAAACCTTTATCATTTTAGCACAGAACTTATATTTGTTTTGAGTCATTCATGTCGCTAATTTAATAATATATTCTCTATAGATATTTATATTCCAAATAACTTTTATTTTATTTTATTTATTTTTGTTTTATTTCTTCAAGATATTTATTGATTTATACCACAATTTCAATTGTAACTATTTTACTGCACATTTTTGGTTTTATTGAATTTAACATTATTTCATTTTGTTTTGATTTTTCTATATGATTTTAACTTACAAATTTAATAGTTTATAATTTTTTATATATTTTCATTTATTATATTTTACTCATTTTCATTTATTTTACACTTAAACATAGTTACGCTATATGGAATTAAATGTTTGATACACAAATTGATTTTTTGTTTAACCTAATTATAAATATTTGCATATATTCAAATAAATAATTTTCACTTACAGTATACTTATATATAAATGTATAATATATATTTTTAATTAAATTACACTTACAAATCTTTTCCTTATATTATATGTATTGTTCTTATAAAATATGTTCATTTTGGTTTTAGTGTAACTAACATTAATTAATTTTAATTTTCTTCTTCTTCTTCTTCTTCTTGAGTTAGTGCTATTACGCACTTTTACTCTATAATGACTGGGGGGTTAATCACTACCCCACACTAGGCTTTAACTAGGCTAAAAAATCATATCATTTATTTGTCTTTTAGTTGATGACGGACCTTAAATCAGCATATCTTCCTGAGAGTCCAGAAGTGGACTTGAGGATTGTTATGGCGGGGTTAAGTAGCGTATCAACTTTAGTGAATAATTTTAAAGCTCTGTCTCTGATATATTTTTTCACTGAGTCAATCCTAAGATCTCTATGTATGTCCGTAGATCTAATGTACCATGGAATCTTAAACAGTTTTCTTAAGGCCAGGTTTTGAGCTATCTGTAATTGCTTTAAGGTGGTATTTGAGGCTTTGCTATATGTAACACATCCGTACAGAAGAGCAGGTCTAATTACTTGCGTATAAAGTAACTTTCTGTTTTTAAAGTTGAAGTGATAATTATTAAATAGCGGCTTTAATAAATGTAGAATCTTAGAGCAGCTATTCCGTTTGTATTTCAAATGTTTAAGCCAATTGAACCGTTTGTCAAAAGTGACCCCCAGATATTTTATGTTATCCTCCCACCGTATCTCCGTGTCGCAAACGCTCACTCTTGGAGGATGCTGTCTTCTTTTTCGAGTTATAAATATAGCCTTGGTTTTGTCATTATTAATTTTAATCTTCCATTTTTGGAAGTATTCCACCATAAGGTCTATATTTCCCTGTAACGTGTTGCTTACATTTAAGGCATCCCGATCCTAGTAGATCAAGCATGTGTCGTCTGCGTAAAGCGCCATTGATGTGGGACTTAAGGTGGGGATGTCTGCCGTGTATACATTAAACAATGTGGGAGACAAAGGCGACCCTTGAGGTACACCTGCTACAATTGATCGGGCGGACGAAAGAGTGCTATTAATTTTAGTACGGAAGGACCTTTCTTGCAGGAAGCTACCAATGATTTTAGTCAAACCACTAGGGATCCCAAAACGGGCTAATTTGACTATTAGACCATCATGCCAGACCTTGTCAAAAGCTTTGGCTATGTCAAAAATAATCATCCCGGTGGACTCCCGTTTACTTAGAGCGGTTTGTATCAGCTGCGCACTTTGTTTAGTAATAATTTTAAACGATTTTTATTTTACATACATGTGTGAGTATTAATTTTTCTATATATATATATATATATATATTAGTTATCTATATCTTAGTTCTAAAACTACAATTTATGGTTAACCATAACAATAAATCTTATTTTTTGGTTTTATTTTTAATTGTATGAAACTTCAGGAAATCAATTTTATTCTTTTCGCATTTTCAAGAAACTTTAAAACAAAATGTTTAATAAGAAATTTTTTAATTTAAATAAATAATTTATTAAATTATATTCAATAAAATGTGATAAAATAGAAATTAATATACATTCCAAATATATCTATTTTAAATGTGTTCCTAAACAACTGCTTTTATTTTATATTTTTTTTGATGTTGTCATTGGTTTATTAGTTTAGTTTAACTTGTTAAAATTAGTTAATTTAATATAAAATTCATGAGAAATTAAAATAATTGATATCTTCATATACCTATTTATTATAAATGCATAAAAAATGTAATAGTGGCTGCGGTTGGAGTTACTAATTGATTACTTTCAAATTCATGATTTTTTAATATTGTGTGATTAATAAAATATAAATAATTAAATAATAAATAAATACTAAATAATAATGTTAAGATTTCACAAACAAAAAAGTATTTATTTTTAGTTTTTAACAATTTTATTTTGAACTATAAGAATTATTTATTAATAGATGACAGTGAATTTATAATTATTCAATATTTATGCATAAATTATTATTAAATATTTGTTAAAATATACTGATCACTTCATACATGGATTCAATATTTTTAGTTCAACCAGTAAATGAATAATTTAACAAATATATAAATAATGTTAACTGATAAATTATACATTCATTAAGTAAGATAATTTCACATTAATTATTTAAACCTTCTATATATACATATATGCATATATTTCAGAAAGTTCACTTGTATTTCTTTAATACCAAGCGCTCTTGTATCTCTTAAATTTATGGTAACTTACTTCTAATAGTTTCTAATATTTTCTCAACACTATAATATATAAAAGAAATATTCTATACAATAATTCAAAATTTTTTTTGAAATATTGCACTTATTCAACATAATTTTATAAGTATTATTTAATTCAATTTTTTTTATTTAATATTTACATGCACATTAATTCAGTCTTTGGAAGAATAATTTATCAGAATAAAAAGTAAGAACTACAAAATTGCAAATGACTTAAAGTAAGAACTGCGTTAATACGGAGTTAAGTACTTAGAAGAAAACACTATAATTTAATTATTAAAATTTATATTATATTACGGAATTAAATAGATGAATTTAAATAATAGATAGGAGAGATAATTTTCTATAAGTTATATTTAAAACAATAAAGGAAATATTTTTGAAGCAAGCATAAATATGTAATTGAAGATAATATGTACGCACTGTGTATCAAATTATAGAATTGAATTTTAATTATTTAGAAATGAAGATCTGCACAAATCTACATTTAGTTTCAAGCCTTAGATATTAACATTATTAACATAATCGTACCGTATCGAGGATTTTACTTGCAGAACAAAATAAACAAATGTAACAAATAAAGAAGCTCTGGATGTTAAGAAATTTGGCTTATAAATAAAGTGATTGTATCAGCTGAGGCCCATTTTGAAAGCCTACGCAAGTTGTTCTATGAAAGACAACTTGAAAGACACTTCCTTAGAGAAGTAAGTTTGAAAGGTGTTGAAAGAAATGTATTATTTTTGAAAAAGAAAAAAAAATTAATTTCATAAAAAAGGGTATTTTTAACTAATAAGTTAGTTTTAGTCTTTAAATCATATATTAAGCCATTTAATTTTATGTGAGGATGAAGAGCACTAGTTTCGTTCAACAAGGAAGGATTAGAAACGTATAATAAGTTCAAAATAAAATTTACCTTACCCTTAAAGCATAGTCAAAGGTTTGATTATAATATAAAGAGCATAAGGGATACATAAACAAATTCATAAAAAAGGAATCAATATTAGAATGTTATAAAATGTCCTGTACTTAGCCAACTTCACTCTTAAAAAGCAATGTTAAAAAAATATGGTTGGTGTTTCAAAAAGTTTTGACCCGACTTTATGTACGTATAGTCAGATTCCTTAATATGTTACTAAGTTCTTAGTATGAAAGTTATTTACTACCTTATTTTCAGAGAATTAAAATAATCATCTTGTAATATTGGAAATGGCAATTATAATATGATGATGATGATATACTCCTGTTGGAGCATAAGACCTCTTACTTATAATGTCATAAAAATATAATACAGTAAAAAATCTTAAATTTGACCATGGCAATGTATAAACGAAAGATTGATTGCAGCACAAATACTGTGTGTTAATTTAGATCCGGTAAGTGACTACATGACATGAAACACTTAAAGTTTAATTAAACTTAAGTTATTTAAAGAAATCATTATTCTTTAAAACTTCTCCGGAAAGCATTTATCCTTATATTTAGAAAGCAGAAAGAAATTAGTTCTCAAATTCTTAGTCAAAATTCTATTTGTTTTTTTTCCTTCATAGGATAAAAATACATTCCATTTTAGAAATAACTCAACTGAAGTGGAGAAAGAAGTTGAAGTCTGAATATCAAAAGTAAAATAAAATAAAAACAGAACTAACAAAAAAAAGCAAATTAAATAATATAAATAATATGAAACTTTTATGAAACTATAATAATAAATAATACCACTGTTTTTTGAGGAAAAAATTTATGACATAAACAACTAAAAAAAAAATAGAGAAAATTATATTCTATTATTATAACTATATAAAAATAATAAAAACAATAATTTTTTAATAACAACCTAAACATGTTACTTAAGTACAATTTTACAAAACACTTATATAATTACTGCAAGTCATTGAAACTATATAATACCTTAACCAATATAATCAAAGTCTTACACGGTACCCGCTCAATAAAATTTTGTAAGCAGCTAAGTTAAGATTAACCCAAATTATGAATTTAAATTGAAAATAACTTACTCATAATTACATTCAAAGAATAAAGCTAAACAGGGAATTATGGACTTAAAAATTATTATTTAAATTTCATAAATTAAATGTTGATAATTAACTCACAAATTAACTTTAATTGGTCCTAATAGAATTTGTTAAACTTAACGATTCTAGAAATATAAAAATTATTTAATAAATGTACAATATTACCTACACATACATAAACACATTTACACGCTTAGTAACACACACATGTATAGAATCGTTTATATCAGTTTGCCATTAAAATACAAAATGAATTTTCCTACTACAATTTCGAACACTGTCTTTAAAGTAAACCTATATTGTCTTAGACTACAAGTCTATAGATAGCTTATATATCATTATATATATATGAATGCATACTATAGTTTTATGCATTTTGGAATGAATTGTACATAGTATATATGGGCAATTAGTATTTAACTATTTTCATATAAACTCAGTTTCTGTGCTGTTATTACGTTATTGTAGTTTATTTTCTAGAACGCACGCTATGCAATGTAATCTCTTAGAAGATTCCAAATAATTCCCTCATAAATGTCTATTTCAATTAATTAACATAGTTCCCACTCACATACATACATAAAAACACTCACACATACACATACGTACTGTAAACACACTGAAAAAAATTAGAGATCACATTTAAAACGCACGCTTAATTAATGTCACACACGCAGCTCATCCATCAAAGGATGTTGCTGAACCTGTTGTTGTTGCTGAGACTGCTGTTGCTGTTGTTGCACTGTAGCCAGTGTAGTTATTGGCGGTCCAGCGCCAATGCTAGTACCAGTTAAAGTGGTTGTCATACTCTGTGTGTGATGATTGGGCATGTGTTGTTGATGCGTTATGACATGTTGTTGTTGCTGTTGCTGCTGCTGCTGTTGTTGCGTTTGTTTCATGCAACTTTTTTTGGTTAGCGTACCACATTGATTGCCCATGACTTGCAGCGCATGCGGCGGTGGCATAAGACCAACAACACTACCACCGGTGCTGCCCACTACTGGTGCTTCTTGCATAGACTTCATGTGCTTTGGCGGCGGCGGTGCACGATGTGGTATATCTGCGAATTCAGGCGGTGGCAGCTGATGATGCTGAAGAGCATGATGATGGGAAAGTATAGTCGCGGGATCACTTTTCGCATGTATCGTTAACGTTTCCAAGTCACCACAAATATTGTTGGGCATTTGACCGTTTTCCTGACGTTTCATTTTGGTTTGGGTGCGTGGTTCACTGAGGCGTGTTTTATCGCGTTGATAGTAAACACCAGCAAAAATCAACACGTTCAGTATGAGTAAACTGCAGCCGATGGCTATGGTTACACTTAACGCTGTGGAATAAGCGGCAAACCCATCTGAGTCTTGTGAAGCGCTTGTGCTGCCATGCATGTCGGCATCAGTAATATCGTCGGGATACAATTTTCCGCCCGGATAGCGAGTTGAATTGCGATGCAGTGAAGAGGATGGTGACGAAAGATTTAATAATGAAAATACTTGATTCGTGAAAATGGTGAAATTGCCGAGAGCAGCATTCCCGGCACCTGGTGAGTAGGGCGGATTCAGTGGTTTTATAGTTGCATCGCTGGCAATGTTGTTATCCATTTCATCGTCATCGTGTAACTGATGATGTGAGGCGGGCACATTGTCACCACCCGGCTTGTGCAGGTCGGGGATGAGATTCAACCAAAACGATAGACGGTGTGCACGGTAATGATTTTTTAATTTGGGTTTGGTATCTAAGGCGATAAAAAAGAAAATTAAATTGAAAGGAATAATACAATTTTACAAGCAATCACGACAGAAAAATTATTGAATAAATTAAATTATTTTGTAATTGATATTTCAACGTAAAGTGTCAACATCATGAAATCCCCGCACTTACCAAAATTTAAATATTTTTTGTGCACACTTTCGTACGCAGTCCAGTCGATGGTCTTGTAACGACTGCGCTCCTGTCGGCTATTATGTTCAATTTCCATTTGTTCGTTAGGATTGCTTTAAAAAAATTGTATTTTTTTTTTGGAAAAAAATAAAACCATTAAATTAATGAAAATTGTTTTTGGAATTGCAAAAGAAAAAAAAGAATGTTGCTATGCAAATGTGAGTTATAACATGAAATTGATTTAAATATGCACCTTTGTTGCACTTGCACATGAACACACATTGCAATAAATATTGAACAACAAGTCCAGTACATAAAATCACAGTGGTGGCCGAATGCACAATCCATAATAGCTCAAACAAAGGTAATTAATTTGCGAAATCGACAGAAACATGCACTCTAACATGCGACACACACCTGCACCCGCACCAGTGCAGCTGCTATTATGGACTTGCAAGTGATATATGCACTTATGCCGTCCATTATGAAATTATGTTTGTCTGGAACGGTTTGTATGCGCTTTGCCAGTTGCAGGCAACATTGATTCTACAATACTTACCCAGTGCGCACGAAATTCGACCAGTACAGCATCACAATTTCAGAAAGATTTATTTCGGTTTTTGTATAATTTCTTACAAAATGACTGAAGCCACCAACTAGTGGCGCACCAAAGATATATGGTAAATCCTCTCCATGTATACAACCTTGACGCTGTAATGAGTATAAAAGATGAAAGGCCATTTTAATATTTAAGCATGCTTTTAGGCGCAAAATTTCATTGACTCATTGTGCATACATAAATGAATGAATGAATAACTGAATGAATGAATGAATGAAATAAATTCTTGTTTTTATGTTCTGATTATTGAAAAATTAAAATTGGAAAATGATTTTTTCTGCTGATCTTTTCATGTACTATGCATGGATTAAGTGGCCGTTGAAATAGCAGTAGGCAGTTTTGTTAATACCACCAACAAAAGCAAAGAGAATTATTTATGAAGGGGCAAGTTGAATGACAAAGTAATATATATGAATCAAATAAGTTAGAAAATGAAAAACCAAATAGTATTAGTACAAGATAATAAAATAAATCAGTTAGTAAATCCTTTCATAAAGGAATTAAAAACTTAAAATTGAACTTAATGCATTATTTATTTCATTCACGTGCTTAAAAACAAGAGTAAAAAAATACTTTTTCAATAGAATTTATTATGTCTTTTCATTAATTAATAATTTCATTAAGTTAACAGGATACTGTTGTTTCTTTTTATTGTTATAATGTCTTTCTTCAAGAATTTGTAATATTCTAAAAGGAAATCTGTAAGCTGTTTAAAAGTTTTAGTGCCAATATTCATATAAATTATTTATTATATGGCATATCCACTTTTGGAACAGGGAAGGTTCTTGTTAGATGCGTCATTGATGGGAAACAATACCAAAAAATTGGGACTTATGCAGTACTGCCAGATAAGAAGAAAAAATGACATCAGAACGTTTTCTTTACGAATGCCATGATCTGACCGCATTAAAGTATTTTACTAAAAAATTTTATCCTATGGATATTCTTAAAGAAAAGATCTTAAAGAAGTAAATGTAATATTGTTAAAGAAATTGATATTTTCTTTATAAAAAACTTTTGGTTTAATTGAAATTATTTTCCTGTACATTTTCCTTTACATGTGCTAAATGATATATTTTAATTAGACCTTTATAGATTCAGTTTGAGTCAAAAGTTTTTGTTTTCGGAACAAAAATTTTCGTTTTATTTAAAAATAAATTAAATCAAATTTAAAAATATTATACTACACATTAATCGTATATATACAGTACACTGAAAAGGAGTAGGACGAAAAACTTACATTAATTTAATCTGATACCATAGATAGGAAAAAGTTTATAGAGAAAAATTTGAAAACATGAAAAATGTTTTTAATATCTAATACAGTTCATTATATAGTTCTAATTGCGAATGGGGTAGAGTACGTTTTCAGATAGATTTCAGTTCTGTAGGGCAAAGTATATATATTTTTGTTTTGGCGTTTCTCTGGTGACTAGCCTTAACCGTATCCGGGTATTGTCATTGAGCAATACGATTATAAGGCACTTTATTATAATAAATTAGTAATTCTAATAAATTTATAACAATTAAATTCTTTGGAACAAATCACAATTGGTTCCTATAATTTCTATTACTATAATTAGCAGCTAGAAAGGGATAATGGTTTTCTGCACCTTCATCAAGAGAGCTGTAAAGTTAACATTTTAATTGACAGACAAGAAACAATTACGGCTGACCAATTATCCACTATTAAATAAAAGATGATTAAAATGTTATAATGCTTTTTAATTCTAAAAATGATAAAAACCATATCGAATTATTGATATTTCTGCTAGGGTTTCTAGTCATAAAAAACTGAAGCGAATAAGTAAACAGATAGTTTAACACATTTTATTGCTTTTATGAATGTTTGTCCATGAATGGAGTTTTATGTTCCCCTAGACATCGTTAAAGGCAGCACTTGCTTCCAATTTTTGAAATTATTTAAAGTGACATACAACACACACAATATTCTGATAAGTATAACCGCCACAAGAACAAGCAAAATCAGATAACGAAGCTCATTAAAAGATATCAAATTATAAGAAGCCAGTTTTAAAAATTGTTCATATCTTTACCAAAAAAAAAACAAAAACTTGATTTTCTAGGATTGAGTACCTATGGATAGCAGAAGGAACGCATTGTTAGAGTTATTAGCCTGTTGAAATGATATAAAAGATATCATTTATGTAAGTTACATGAAGTCAACCTGTTTGATGCAGTTTTCTCTATCACGGTTTCTCGTGAGGAATATGGTATTAAAACTACATCTAAGAGCTAGTTGTGGTATAAAAGGGGTAACTACTGGGAAACCAAAGGAATCATGAACTTAAAATTTGAATTTAATCTTAATTTTAAACATATCTATTATTAATTTTAATTCGTTATATATAAAATGTTCTAATTAATAATTAGTGTATGGGGATTGATTTAGTGTTTGATTAGTCTACGATTTAGTTACTCACCTGTGGATAGTCACCATATCGAGTTTGGTAATCAAATACATATAAATAAGAATTTCGATGATCTGCAGAATGTAAATCGACAGTTTGTGCAGCAGGTGCCACAACTTGCGCATCACTTAGTGCTTCTAAAGTTTCATCTCTGTAAATACCAATACATACATAATTAAAAATATGTTTCATTTAGTTGATATATCAAAACAAATTGATTTTCAAATTAAATAAAATGACAACTAATGGAGTTTGTTTTAGAAAGCTTGTATTGTGTGATTAACTCATAGGTTTCAAACAAGGGGTTAGTATTCTTGAATTGTGTTTTAAATGTTATATATTTGAAATCTATTTCGTTTGTAACAGTTTTCTGCTTAAGTATTATCTGTTAAGAAGATAAGAGTCTTTGATCAGTCATCAATTTCTGTTCAGATACACACAAAATATTTTCAAAGACTCTGATATTTGAAATAGATGTCAACTAGATTAATAATACATTAAGACCGAAAAGTTTTCGGAAATTCTCATTTAAAATTCGCGCGCTGTATATTTTTCGATACTTTAAGTTTATGTAGTTTGGCAGCAATTAAGGACAATTACTATGCCAAAAATGAGCGCGATCTGTCAGACAGTTCGTTTACGGCAGCTGTTGAAACCAGTTCACCTCAGTAGTGCGTTGCGAAAAAAACAATGGAAAAAAATATTGAACAAAGAGTTTGCATCAAATTTTGTGTTTCGAACGAATTTCGTGTGCAGAATCGTTGCGAATGCTACAAAAGGCTTATGGGGAATCAGTTTTATCGAAAACTCAAGTTTATGAGTGGTACAAAGCCTTTCAGGACGGTCGTACGACCGTCGAAGACATTTCGCAACGCACTACTTAGGTGAACTGGTTTCAACAGCTGCCGTAAACGAACTGTCTGACAGATCGCGCTCATTTTTGGCATAGTAATTAAGGACAGTGCTGCCAAACTACATAAACTTAAAATATCGAAAAATATACAGCGCGCGAATTTTAAATGAGAATTTCCGAAAACTTTTCAGTCTTAATGTATATCTGTTCATTTTGTGAGAAATATGCTTTTCCATTTACAATTCCATTCGTGTTTCTTTTCGTTATGATTGATTTTCAGTTGTGTGTCCAGGAGGTTCAAAGAGGATCCCTCCTTTGTTAATGTTACTTATTTTTCAGTGAACTGAAAAAATATTGCTCAGAAAATATTTTGTATAGCCTCGCCCCTTAGCACAATCCCGGCTAAGCCACTGCTACAACTCTTGGTGTAATTCTTTAAATTTTGTGGATCTATAAGCAACAGCACTATATACACTATCAACACTGTTATTTATTAGAAGTATAATCTATTAAAGTGTATAATCTAAGTGTACTTATTTTCGAGATTCTATGAACATTATGCATTTATTAATTAGTAATATGTTTAGAGATTGTTGCAAGTATATATTAGTTTAATAATTGAATATGCTTATATCGTTGAAATAGTTTTTCTAGTTTTAGTAGGATTACTAGTTTTGCTTATAAATTTGAATTCCTTTTTTATTAGTTTTACTATATAAAAAATTAAATTTCAGTAAACAGATTTTGCTTTAAATTCATATTTTTAATCAAATATTTTATGCTTAAATACTGCGTTATATAAATATGGATAACCTGAGAACGTCTAAAAAACACGCATAATAATTAAAAATTATTTTTGCTACACACACTCACACTTAAGGAACCTATTAGAATTTATTAAAATTATTTTTAATTAAAAAATAATTTATGCAAATAAAAACAAATAATGCTGACAAATTTTTAATTAAACGCAACATGGAAGCGGAAAAAAAATTGTTATTTAAACCACCACAAAAATGCTGTTGGGTCAGTAATATTAGATTCGGTAATGTGGAACAAAAATTGTCCCAAATTCAGTGATGGCAATTTTGTGGGTACATCATGTGAAAATTAAATGAAAATCAGAATTTAATATGAGACAAGCAAGGAGGTTCGCAAATATTTTGTTTAATATTTGTACTAATTTCTGCTCCAAGGCTTGCGTAGGAGCACATTTACGTATTACATATCCTTTCAATTTGTAAGCGAAAAGCAAAAACCAGCAATTTTCCTAAACAATTTGCAATCAATTGACATTTAATAAAATGCGTACAAATTCCATTCTAACGCAAACAAAGTGGAGCAAAGCTTCCGTCGCAATCCAGTAATGGTACATAAGCTCGTAACAATAACAATCTCAACAACGGTAACATTAAGGCTACAACAGCAACAGCAACAGAAACAGTAACAGCAACAGTAACAATAATAATGTGAACAATTTTAATATTCATGGAGTAACAAAAATTTCGTGGTTAACCGTAAATGTCATTTGAAATTTAACATATTTTTATGGCTACGTATATGGGCACGCCTACATATGAGATCTGGAGAATATTGAGAGATTCGCAAGTGTGTCGGTAGTAAATGAGTGGATTCCATGAAACAATAATTTCAGATTGAAGGAACTAGTAGAACCAATTATGATCACTTAGCATTATGATCACAGTTAGATCTAACTAGCCTAAAGTAGGATGAAAAACTGCGGAGGACACAGCAATGTTGTCTAAAAACTTCTTATAATTCAACGGCAGATATTAAAAAAAACTAATACTGAATTAATAATATAATATACAAAAATGTTGATGCAGGATCTATATGATATCTATGAATGAAATATATGAATGTTGGTTTCAAGTTGTTGAGTGTTATGATTTAGTGATTACTATAAACCTGTGTGTTTAAGCTAAGAAAACTAATAGCAATAAACTTTAATTACTTCATGAGTAATCGATGTCCTTATGTTGCAAAATTAATGATCTGGCCAGATGTGGTTAGTTTAGTTTGAAATGGCATGTTTATGCTGTAGAACTCAATTGAGCTCAAATAATATCAAGGAAACTACAGAGGAGCACTTTTTCCGAATAATACTATTGACAACAAAATGAGGTAGCATATCTAGTTGATAATGTTTTTCAAGGTAAAACTTAAAATGTTAAAGTCTGATAACTCAAGAATATAGCTATGTCTGTCGCCTGACAGCATAGGAGAAAAGTTTGCTCAGTATAGACAATTTAACCAATATCCTTCAGTTAAGTCGCATATGAAGTTATACGGACTTATAGTGTATCGAATAACGTTGAAAAAAATAACTGTGTTTAAGAATCCAAACAGTTGCTTGATATAAATTACTTAAGAAGACGAGTGCAATGCACTAAACCCTTTGATTTGTAAATGTAATCTCAAAACATTCTAGGGAATATAAAGGATATGTTATTAAATATTTTTTAATTAAAAAAATAAATTTCGTGGTCAAGCCGGTGTGATCGGTATCGTGTAAATAAATTATTATAAATAATAATAGTGTATATTATTATTTATAATTTATTTCTTTGTAACATTGAAATTGTTAAACCTGTGATATTGTACAGAAACATTTTTTTTAATATATAATTTTTGCCTACTGTCGGTTTTATGGTGCTGTTAGCTGTCATTTTTTTATGAAATTATTTATTTCTTTTCTACTTTTTTTTTTGTTAGTATTACAATTCTGTTATATTGTATTGTGTTGTATTGTACCGATGCCATAGTTTCCTTTAAATAATCATGTATAAAATAAATGACTTTTATACACACGTCTTCCAAAGGATTTTTTTTTATGAACATTTTTTCTTTCTTCTTTTCAGATCAGGCTTGCGCTTTCTTTTTATTAATTTTTTAATTTCTTAATTTAGTTAGCTTCCACCTCAATTTGAATTTTTTTATATAGTATATATTATATTAAAATACAGTAGTGCTATAGTAAACACAATACCACGGACAGATAGTGTTCGAGTCCGTATAAATGTGGTGTACATTTAAGTTGTCTTGCAAAATGAATCCAAGTGTGAGAAAGAAAAATGTTATTCTTAACTAATATTTTTAAATTGTATTTTATTAAAACATATATCTATTTGCAAATACTAAAGCAAAATTTGTATCAAGGGTAGTTTCCATGTCTAACTTAATACAGTATATAATGTTACCTTCCTTTACTTAGACAGTTTTAGATAAGTATTTAAATAAAATTCAAAAATTTCATTTATTAAAAAAATTATAATACATTCATTAAAGAAAATATTATGTTACTATTTTATATAAGTACTGTATTTTTATGTGTAAAATCTAAACAAATTTTTATTGTATTTTTTATAGAGATGTTTCCAACTTATTCAAACCAAACTTTCTAAAATTTACTACTGGCATTGCATTTGGAAGGAATTGAAATTCAAATAAATAAATTAAATGAACAAATAATTTTAAATAATTTTTTGGCTTCATTTAATATGACTTTTACTAAATTTTTTCTTTTCCAAACTTTCTGTGAAAAATTTTAAATTCATTGTATTACTGTGGTTATGTTGGCGTGTTTGAGGCTTACAAATTACATATTTTATTATAATTTTTGTTATTCCTATGTTACAATTTCCCGAGATATTTCATTAATTTTATTTCTTTCATAATGCAATTTAAATAAATTTTTTTTAATCTTCGACTTAATACGCCCGCATGTGAATACAAATTTTGCTACAATTTTCTATGCAATTCAAATAATTTCACTGAATAAATGATTTTGATTTTATCTTTAAGTATTAAAATGTTATATAGAAAATTTAAATATTAATAGAGTTTGAAAGAAATACAATTTCATCAAAAAAATAAGTTTTGAATATTATTTTTTTACTTTAAAATATATATCAGCATATATCTTAATTCAATTTAAAGTGTAAAAATTGATAAATTTTTCATATAAATTGTTAATTTACATATTATATATATAATTCAATTAAGTCAGCAATAGAAATTATGATTTTATTGGACTTCATATACAAAATAAATTAATAGGGTTCAAAAGAACATTTTTGTTTAAATCCAAATAAACATACTATATTAGTTTTGATAAAATACTGGCTGGTAAGATATGATGCTATACATATATAAATAAGTAAAATAAATAAATAATAAATGTATTCAGTTATTGAGTTATAATTGGATATAATAAATAGTTAAATATAAAAGGGTGTGTTAGGTTTCAAATGAAATTTCAATATTTTTATGTAGATGCAATTAATATTTAGAGCGAATTTCAGTATCCATATTTTACTCTCTCGATAAAACGTATTCAATTTTTCGAGCGTTTCACCAATTCCAAAAATCAAGTAGTTTATATGCAATACCACAAATTTTTATAAACTATAATTAAATACTCTACAGTGGACATTTAAATATAAGCTAAAACTTGGTTAGACGACAGTAAAAATCAATAATAAAGCAATAATTCGTAATCATATATATGATTATGCGAAAATAATGCTATGTTACTATTATTAATTAAATATTTTTTAGTTTATTTAATTTTCTGTGTACAATTCTTTTTTAATATAAAATTCAATAAGCTTCCATACTCATAAATTTGGGAATGTTTTTGTCAGTTATTTTGTTTGAATAGTATAAGTTATAGACAAATAATTTGACTAATTAGTCGATTTGATCTGTCTATATCTAGAAAAAGTATTTATGCAGAATCTCATTGAACTAGCAGAGTATTGAAAAAGTTAAGGATATAAACTGAGAAGAAATAAGGATATTGTTAGATCAATTCAACCCATAATGCTATTTAAAAATATTTATATTGTAAATGGTTTTTTCTGAAATAAAAATAAACTTTTCATTTTATTAAAATTACACTTCCATTTTTTATGGACTTATAATTGCATATATTGTGGAGAAATAATAAGAAATGCAAGCAGTGCTATGATTATTTACTTTTTACTTTTAATTAAAAGATTAAAGTATAATATCAGTCAAAATATACCTTTTTCATATATTTATATATCTTTGTCAAGTATTTGTGCAGAATATTTATAACAAAAGTATTTTGCGAGATTAACTGAAGATTAAAGCAAACAAAATTATATCTATATTCTGATCATGAAGCATTCATGACATTGGATATTCACTGTGCAAAATAAAATATTTTTTCAATCCAGATTTGATTGAATCTCATTTGATATAATAAATAAATTTTATTGCAAATATTTGAACATTTCATTTTAGATTCTTTTACGACAGAAGCATTCCACACGTTATATCAAAAATTACTTCTTAGAAAACATTGAGGTAAAAAGATGCTGAGGAAGGTAAATATTTTTTAAGTTGGTTTTATAATTATTGTATCTTCAATCACAATACCAATATATGTACAATTTTAATTAATCCATCTTATTAATTATAAAGGACTGGTTATTGTACTTAATCGAAAACAATAGACACCAAAAATACCAAAAAATATCGGCTTGTTTGGCTTATACCAGCTTTTATTGACACTGCCCAAGCGATATTTTTACTTTACTGATGGCCTAATATTAGGGTGTTCAAAAACACGTGTATTAATACAACGCGTCAAACAACGCTCCATTGGAATTTCTTTATAGATTTTCGCTGGTATCAATGAAGAAATGTGTGTAAGACATAACTTTCACCTTGGTTTGGGATGAGGCCCATCTATACCTCTGCTACTCTTTGGGTCGTAGTATCCGGTGGAGAAACGCAACTCCACGCCGAATGAATGATGCATTCTTTCCACGTAAGTTTGGGTATCAACCACATCCACTACATGTCCAACCACAAATGGTCAGCACAGCCGAAGCTGCGGGCACTGACCCCCGTAGTACCGGACTTATACCACGTGTAGTGTATCGCAAGTGCAGACCTTATTTACTTCTATGCACACTTCTTAGACAAGTGTCGGCATGGCACCGGGATTTTATTCGCCTCTTACGACAGGTATGCTTTACCTCGGGAATATTCTAGCTCCTTCATCGCAGGGGAAAGTATATAGTAGAAAAGCACATAAACAGTAAAGGATGATTAATAATTATACTATTTTATACTAATAATTATACTATCTCTTCTGATTATTCAAATCTTAAGCCGTAATGTTTAAATAAATTTAAAAACGTGAATAAAAAATTAATTTTATTTGTTATAAAATAAGTGTAACCAAATTTGATAGGCGATAAAAGCAAAAATTTAAATTTAGCGCTTCAAGGATATCGAGGATATCGTTTTGAATGATTGATTTCTTTCTCCGAAATACACAATAAATTGGCATTAATTCGCTTTGATGTTATTTTTATAAAAAACGGCAGCAATTATTTTACGAATTATTACTTAAATGTATCTTTTGTTGCATCTGTCGTTGTTTGTACTCCTGCAGATTTGCTTAAATACACTTCATTTGCTTCGGTGTAGTCGATTACACTTCCTTTTCTTTACAAATTACATTTCATATCATTTTAATTTTCCTATAAATCATAATTATATTTCAGAATTTTGCATTTGGGAGCGAAATCCTCCTCGAAGCCGCACAAATATTTCGTATTGAATATTGACTTCCACACAGGAAGCCGCCTTTTTCTTTCTCAATTCAAATGGGATATGCGGTGCGTATTTGAGTATTGTAAATACTGTATTGAGTATTGTATCTGTGTGTATTTGTGTGCGAGTGTGTGTGTATGGCATTAACTTTATTTAGCGGTACTTTAACATGATTTAAATAATGAAGCGCTAATGAATGTTTTATTTTGTAAAGCATTTTTTATTTTATTTATGACTGAATGTAGATATATATTGAATATAGATATATATATTTATATAAATTTTTTTTCTTGATATTTTTGTTTTATTTTTGGCATTTACTTTTCATTTCACATTTTTATTGTATTGAGAACATTGCATATCGCATTTTAAGTAGCATAAAATTTTAACACAAATTCACCGATAGCAGTACTTTTAATAGTAGATTATTTTGTAAAAGTAATGGCTTGAAACAAAATAAAATTTTATATTTTCCGTTTTCCGTACCGATTTTTTCTTCACTGATTTGCACATAAAATGGCTCATTTGCATATGCTTAAAGGCACTTAAATTTACTTAAACGTATGTGAGTAGTACGTATTATGTTGGTAAAAGATATATGAGCATAAATCGTACTTACCTTATATTAATCGGATGCTGTACTGGTCTTTCCCAATCTGTGTACTCATTTACAATTGTTGCGAATATCTCATTCAGATGATACGTATATGTATTACGTACGTAAGCTTTTAAAATCTTGGAGCGTCGATCCGCCTCAATGCCGTATTGCACGTCACCGGAATTGAAGGAAAAAAACGCCTCGGCACGTGTGACACCAGCCATAAGGTCATATCTGCGTAAGGAAATCAAAATGATAAAATGAGTCAAAGAGAAGAAAATCTCTGAAATTTACATGAATGTTTTTCATAAGGTACGTGAAAATGAAAAGAAAATTAAATTCACAACTTTCTCACTTCTTAATGCAATTTGTTTTTTTTTGCTTTTTGTAATACAATATCTTGGTAGAAAAGGGAATCAGAAAATACATTTGTCGCTCGTAAAGAAGTAGATAAATTGAAAATTGTGATTTCAACAAATGTTGGTACAGAAGGATGGAAATCAAAAATGGAAATCAGCAGGTTATTAATTAAATCAACTAAGAGCATCACCGCTGCAGGAGTTGATTGCTATATGTAATAGTATTGAATATATTCAATGCAAAATGTATTTACTTTAAATAGGAAATGAAATTTATTTAAATTTAAAAAAAAAAAAAAAACAAAAAAAAAAAAATTCGCAAAGAACATATAAGTTTTGGAAAAGAAGTACAATTTTATAAGAATTTCTTGGAAATGCATTTTTTACTTTGAATAGGAAATGAAATTTATTTAAATTTACAAAAAAAAAAAATATAATGCAAAGAACACATAAGTTTTGGAAAAGAAGTACAATTTTATAAGAATTTCTTGGAAATGCAATTTTTCGAATTAAAAACTCAAAACTCCAAACACTCTTTTATGAATTATCGAATAATCCTAAAAAGAATCATGCGTTTCCATTGACACTGCGGCACTAAATGCGGTTAAAAGCTTATGTTTGATCAGTATTACATATGATCGCTTGAGCAAGTCTCAGAGGGGAATTTTTCAAAATCTCTTACTAGATTAATAAGCAAAAATCGTGACTTTGAAGTGTCTACATGGAACCCAAAAGTTTCAGGGTTTCACTAATACAAGAGGACTGATATTATTGCTAAAGAAGTTTGTGCATCTGCCATTGCGATGTATTAAGTTAGAGCTACCTTATATTGAGGTACTAAACGAAGTTGAAACCTTATATTTAACCACTACCATGATTGTCTGATAAAAACACAGAGCATACTTTTTTTTTCAAAGCTTCTTTCCGAGTCAAAATAAAAAAATTATTGTTTTACAGTGCCCAAACGGAACCCAAGAGAAACGAGGTAATCAAAAGACTTATTGCTTGGCATTTGTAAAATAGCATATATTTTTATTGACACTAATTTTGTTAACACAATCACATAATTTTTTATTGTTCAGGCTTTTACAACTTAACAAATAAATATTACTTTTTTTAAGAATTCAACAAATGCACTAATATCTTATTTGAGGGTATTAGTTTCAACATTCGAAATTTATGGAAAAAGCAAAATTTTATTTTTAAATTGATATTCAGTAATCAAATAGTGTTGGTCAGTTGCATGTTTTCAACAAGACTGAAATAGGATTATATTCTGTGAACGTTTGTTGTCAGCAGTTTGAAGTACAAGCATTGTTTGAGGTGAAATAAAAGTTATGGCGAGTATTTTCTAAGATTTAAATATTTTTTACAAATCCAAACTAAAAGGGAATAAAATATCAATAAGTATCAAAAAATCTATCTCAGTTTTTCATTTTTAAAGTATGTCATATCAAAAATGGAACTTAACTCGATTCGGTCATAATATCTACTCTCTTGCAACGAAATATCTCATTCACGTGATGAGATACTTAATAAATCAGAAGTTTCTCAAGTACTTCAATGCATAAAATGCAGATTTTTATTAAATTCATTTGAAAACACTAAGCGAGAGCACATAAAACAAATATTGTATGTTTATTATGAGTGCATTTTAAATTGTAGAACAAACTTTTTGGCAGTGTTCAGCATTTTAAATCCATGCAGATAACTTATTGAAACAAAATACTTCAAACTTTTTCATATGAGTACAAAACTTTTCCCATGGAACATATTGTACTTGATGAAAAACAAAAAAAGAGTAGAATTGTAGGAACATACATGATAGTTCAGTGAACTCGATGAATTTATATGTTTAAGGAGATGTGCGGATTGCTCGCAAATTGAAGTCAACTTTAGTTTCTCAACTTACATGGAATGAATTTCAAATATGCCATTTTTCATTATTTGCATACAGGACGAAGTTGTTTGGAATAGTAATTATTAGACAAAAAATTTACGTAAAATGAACGTAAAATGTATGGCAACATTGTCAGTAATTAAAGTATGTAGAAGACACCATATGTACATAAATCTTATTTAAGATAAGTCAATGACTTAAACAGAAGTTGTGAGATATGGACAATGAGAGTATGAAAAAGAAAATAAAGATAAAAGTAGTTTATATCTAAGCTTACTTAAAAAAGACTATACGTACAGATTAATTTATTTAAAGGTATTTGGCTATTATTGTATGAATTAATTCCTATTTTTTTAAGTCCTAGTTTTAATGATATATCATTAGTTGTATGTAATGTAGATGTTCGTTTATATTGGAAACGCATTTGTCTTAGTTAAATAAAAATTAACTGAAATTTCTAATTTTCATTTTCATAATAATCCTTTTATCAATTTTCTGTGTAAATAACATATAACCACTCCTCCGGAGTATACCCTGGAAGAACATGCGTCTTTATATTTCTTCCTTAATAATCAGCATATTATAGTTCATTCTTTACAACAGTAATATAAGAACAAAAAATACGAGTCGAGGAAACGCAACTTTGAACTCCACAATTCTTATATGGATCATAGCTAAAGTGTCGACTCATAAGCAGAATTTAAACTACATTATTAAGTGAGAAAAAATAAGAATGACTACAATAAGGATCTAAAGAATTTCGGAACAGATATTAAAAGTGTGCATGATTGGGAAGATGTAAACGTTGCTTGGTGTTGAACATATCTTTAAAACTAGTTATAATCAACTGACTGCCGAACATATTATCAATGTGAAGAAAA